TCCTAACGGCCATGAAGACGCGGAGGCCGGAGGCTGGAGGCTGACGTAAGCGAGCTCCACAGCACCTGTTCGGCATCCGCAGACCCGGGAACAGCCAGAGACGGCCCTGCACCAGCTTGAACTCAGGACTCTCCCTCGCTCCCCCCAGGAGCCGGGCCTTTCAAAGTCCTCGTCACTTGCTCTGCGTAGCGATGGCCGGGGCAGTGCGCACTTTGGCCCCACCGGCCCCCGGCCTTTTTTGCTAAAGAGACTCTCACGTCCTGGAAAAGGCGAGTTTGCTGGGGAGGAGCCAGGAGCCGGGCGGGAAGGTGCCTGGACGGTGAGAGACGTGTTTGGAGAAGTTTGATTAACGGACGAGAAGACTGACCGGCCGGTCTTTGCGGGCACCGGGCGGCGGGGAGACCAGCAGCGAGGCCGTCGGGAGTCCATCCCGCCCCCGGGGCCCCGAATCTCTCAGGGTTCTGTTCACCACGTTTTAAACCAGGTGCACGCAACACGTGGGTTCTTTCCCGTGTCTGAACAGCACGCCTGCCTTCCCTGCCCTGCGCTGAGCTCCAGGGGCACAAGAGGGCGCGGGGCTGGGTGTCAAGGCCCTGCAGCCTCCTGGGGAGGAGACCCCGCCCTGGGCGCCCTGCGCTTCCCCGCGCCCCGGTCTCATCCTCACCAAAGTCAGAGCTGCCCAGTGAGGCCACAGCCTCTTGGCGCCAGGCCTGCGAATGCCAGGCTCGGAGAAGAGGCGCCCGCAGGCTGCGAGGAGCCGGGCTGAGCCAGATCTCCTGGCGAGTCCGACGGTACAGCCTGCTCCTCCTGTGACGGCCGTGTGGCTAATGAATGACAGGAGAAGGTATGCGGGGAGGAGGGGGGCTGAGGGGCGACACCAAGAATAGCCACCTAGGGGCTGCCCCGGGGTCACTGGCATGGATGGCCTGAATGTGCTCCCTGAAGTGCAAAGCGCCCCAGAAATAGCAGGGATTAGCGCAGCCACACACCGGAACTGCCAAGCTGGGGGCTGAGTAATGGGGGGGAGGGGGGGGCGCGGGGGCGCCAGGGCGCTGGCTGTTCATTCATTCCTTTCCAGGACTTCCCTGGCATCACTGGCCGCGGGCGGGCCTGGCAGCCGGCAGCCTCCCCCTCTGCAGGGACTCGGCCCGTCAGCTGTGCGGGGCGTGCCTGGGCGCGAGTGGAATGGCACCGGGCTGCTATCTCCGAGCCGGAAGGAAAGGATTGATTTAGCTGATCGCTCCCCAGGACCCTCCCAGCCACCGCCCCAACCAGAGCTGACCCAGAGGCCCCAGCTGCGACCCCAGGCCTCAGCTGTTCCCGGGGCACTGCCCACGAGATAAGGGCCAGCTGCTGAGTCACCGCCCCACCGCGCCCTGGGGGCGGGGGGCAGGAATGGCTGGGAGTCAGGCCTGTTTAGAGTTACAGGGAGTTTCCAGGCTGCAGGGCGGGGGGGGGTGGGCTGTGGACAGCTGTGCTGGGTGAGAGAGCCCTGCGGGCTGCTGACCGACCCGCGTCCTCTAGCGATGACCTGCAGCCAGGCCGGGAGGTGGGGGGCGTTGTGGTTGGTGTGGGTGTTTACTGTGTAAAATATAGATTGGTGAGGGGAGAAGGGCACTTCAGTTTTTTAAATACACACACACGCACACGCACATATAGAAAGAGGAGGGGAGAGGGAGAGAGAAACATCCATGATGAGAGGATCATGGACCGGCTGCTCCTGCAGGCCCCACACCGGGCATGGACCCCACAGCCGGGCCTGTGCCCTGACGGGGAATCGAGCCGTGGCCTCCTGGTTCCTAGTCCACGCTCAGCCCTGGGCCACGTGGCCCGGGCTCCCTCTGCGTCTGCCTCTTGCCCTTTTGCCTGGGCCGTGGGGTCACAGACGAGGTGACTCTGAGTCTGTCTTCAGCCTCATCATCGTAAGAAACGAGCCTCAGCCACCTTCTCTTTAAAGCAGCGAGAAGGTCCTGGCCGGACCCAAACCGCCACCCCAGACTGAAGGCAACCACGGGAGCCGGCAAACCGCCCGGAACCGAAAGCGCCCGCGGCGTTCGGCAGGGACGTCCCGGAGAGGGCGTCGGACCTGCTCACCCTCCGTCCTCCGTCTCCCCTCCCCCAGCCGGCCTCTGCGCCCAGGACTCACGCTCACCCTCCCTCTCCCAGCCGCTCCCCCGGCCGCCTGGGCCTCCAGCCTGTCCAAGCACCTGGCGGTCACTTGCTTTACAGCCTTAAAATACAGTGGGGCCTTGACTTACGAGTGTCCCGACTAACGAGTTTTTCGAGATACGAGCCGATTTTTTGCTTTGAGTTGCGAGCTAAAATTCGGGTTACGAGCCAGCTTCTGATACCCCACCGCTAGCTGGCGCAGCGAACGTCACGGTGAACACCACAGCAAATTAACGGCATTTCAACTCATTGTAATGGTGAAAATTGATTTGACATGCGAGTAATTTGAGTTATGAGCTCCGTCACGGAATGAATTACACTCGTAAGTCAAGGCCCCACTGTACTGCTTTTCCCACAAGACGCCTCCCATTCGACTCGCCATTTCACCAGCAGCAGCTGGAGTCCCCCGAGGGCCGCCATAGGAAGCACTGCAAACGGGGGGCCCACCAGCCGAAGTCCTTCTCGCAGCGTGGAAGCTCGGTGGGCGCTGCCGTCTGGTCTCACGCAGCCTCGGAGCAGGCACTGCGCGCCTGTGGATCAGGTGCCTGTGGATCAGGTGCCTGTGGATCAGGCGCCGGTGGATCAGGCGCCGGTGGATCAGGTGCCTGTGGATCAGGCGCCGGTGGATCAGGCCTGTGGATCAGGTGCCTGTGGATCAGGTGCCTGTGGATCAGGCGCCGGTGGATCAGGCCTGTGGATCAGGTGCCTGTGGATCAGGCGCCTGTGGATCAGGCGCCGGTGGATCAGGCCTGTGGATCAGGCGCCGGTGGATCAGGCGCCGGTGGATCAGGCCTGTGGATCAGGCGCCTGTGGATCAGGCGCCTGTGGATCAGGCGCCGGTGGATCAGGCGCCGGTGGATCAGGCGCCGGTGGATCAGGCCTGTGGATCAGGCGCCGGTGGATCAGGCGCCTGTGGATCAGGCGCCGGTGGATCAGGCGCCGGTGGATCAGGCCTGTGGATCAGGCGCCTGTGGATCAGGCGCCTGTGGATCAGGCGCCGGTGGATCAGGCCTGTGGATCAGGCCTGTGGATCAGGTGCCTGTGGATCAGGCGCCGGTGGATCAGGCCTGTGGATCAGGCGCCGGTGGATCAGGCGCCGGTGGATCAGGCCTGTGGATCAGGCGCCTGTGGATCAGGCGCCGGTGGATCAGGCGCCGGTGGATCAGGCGCCGGTGGATCAGGCGCCGGTGGATCAGGCCTGTGGATCAGGCGCCGGTGGATCAGGCGCCTGTGGATCAGGCGCCGGTGGATCAGGCGCCTGTGGATCAGGCCTGTGGATCAGGCCTGTGGATCAGGTGCCTGTGGATCAGGCGCCGGTGGATCGGCGGTTCGGAGCTAACTCAGGGGCAAAGTAACCGCGAGTGCGTTTGTCAACAGGTTACTGCCGCCGAGCGCGCATCGGAGGACCGTGCGACCTGCAGGCTGCCGGGCCGCTCCTGAGCCCCACGAGCCGGACTCGGCCGGTTCCGAGCTGCTGGCTGCGCCCCTCGGGGCAGGGGACGGAAACCCGCCTCTCGGTTCGCGCCCGTGTCACGTGCCTCCCAGGTGGTAGCAGTGGCCAGTCCCTCCGGCCTCGCCACCATGTTGCCGAGCCGCCGCCGCCACGTGTGCCGCCGCCCGGACCCCGCCCGCCGGTTCACAGGGTCCGTCACCCCAGGGCGGCCCTCAGGGCGGGGGGGGCGGGAAGAGGCGCCCCCAGGGAAGGAAACCAGCCGGTTGGGGCCGCACCCCTGGTCCTAGGAGCCCGGGGTGCGCGCAGGGCCTCCCACCAGCCACCGGTGAGGAACGCCCTGAGGGGCGCACAGCCCCCCACGCAGGGACCTCAGAGAGGCGGCTTAGGTCGGCGTGCGTGGGGCTGTGCGTGGGGTCGGCGTGCATAGGGCGGGTGTGCGTGGGGCGGGTGTGCGTGGGGTCGGCGTGCGTAGGGTGGGTGTGCGTGGGGTCGGCGTGCGTAGGGCGGGTGTGCGCGGGGTCGGCGTGCGTGGGGTCGACGTGCGTAGGGCGGGTGTGCGTGGGGTCGGCGTGCGTAGGGCGGGTGTGCGTGGGGCGGGTGTGCGTGGGGTCGGCGTGCGTGGGGCGGGTGTGCGTGGGGTCGGCGTGCGTGGGGTGGGTGTGCGTGGGGCGGGTGTGCGTGGGGTCGGCGTGCGTGGGGCGGGTGTGCGTGGGGCTGTGCGTGGGGTCGGCGTGCATAGGGCGGGTGTGCGCGGGGTCCGCGTGCGTGGGGTCGACGTGCGTAGGGCGGGTGTGCGCGGGGTCGGCGTGCGTGGGGTCGACGTGCGTAGGGTGGGTGTGCGTGGGGTCGGCGTGCGTAGGGCGGGCGTGCGTGGGGTCGGCGTGCGTAGGGCGGGTGTGCGTGGGGCGGGTGTGCGTGGGGTCGGCGTGCGTAGGGCGGGTGTGCGTGGGGCGGGAGTGCGTGGGGTCGGCGTGCGTAGGGCGGGTGTGCGTGGGGTCGGCGTGCGTAGGGCGGGTGTGCGTGGGGTCGGCGTGCGTGGGGCGGGTGTGCGTGGGGTCGGCGTGCGTGGGGTTGACGTGCTTGGGAGCCACGGCTGCGTAGACGGGCCGAGGGGAGAAGCCGCCGGGACCAGGGGTCAGCCGAGGACCGTGCGCCTGCCCGGCTGCCCCCGCGGGTCCGTGGAGCGGGCGGCGGGCTGTGCCGGTGTCTGTCCACGGCCCACGGGAACCCGGGCCTGGCCCTGCCCAGCGACGCCCCGCCCAGGTCTGAACCCGGCCCACGCAGCCCCGTCCGCGAGGAGGTGGCGGGAGGCCCGGTCCATCCGCGGAGCACGGAGTCCCCGGAGGCCGCCCCGTCCAGGCCCGGAGCCGGTCCCGGGTCAGCGGTTCGGACTAAACCCGCCGGGAGGTCCGGGCGTCTCCTCCCGCAGCCCCGGGCGCACGTGCAGGTTCGTGTCCGCCCCGTCCGCTCGGGCTGCGGTCTCGCGGGGAAGTGGCGGCCGAGGAGCCCGCTCGGCGGGCCGTGCAGATGCCACGGGGGGCGGGGGGCCCGCTCGGCGGAGGGTGCAGATGCCACGGGGGGCGGGTGGCCCGCTCGGCGGGCGGTGCAGATGCCACGGGGGCGGTGGCCCGCTCGGCGGGCGGTGCAGATGCCACGGGGGGCGGGTGGTCCGCTCGGCGGGCGGTGCAGATGCCACGGGGGGCGGGGGGCCCGCTCGGCGGGCGGTGCAGATGCCACGGGGGGCGGTGGCCCGCTCGGCGGACGGTGCAGATGCCACGGGGGGCGGGGGCCCCGCGGGCTGGTGGCTTCCCGCCGAGACCGCAGCTCGGGGCTGTCACGGCGGCGGCAGCAGCAGCGCGGGCCCAGCGCTCCGGGCCGAGCCGCCGGAAGTGCCCGGGCCCAGGTGCCGTGGTCACCGCCTCACGGCGATGGTTTCCGCCGGCGTCGCGGGCGGCCGTGGGCCCAGGCGCAGGGCTCGGCCGGCCGGGGTTCCGGGGTTCGCCATCGCAGAGCCGCCGTGTTCATACACCCCGGCCCCTCGGCTGCGTTGTTATGTGCGAACACAATGGGGCGGATTCTAGGCCCAATTAAGTGGAAAAGGTCGCTTTCCGGCAACAATGGGCCAGAGCTCAGCAGCAACAAGAAAAGCTACTTAGTGTGGCAGCCTTTGTTGGGAGGAATCTCTGCGAGGCCCCCTCGGGGCTCTGAATGGGGCCTGAGCGGCCCCCCTAATCCCGCCGGTGTCCCGGGGTTAATTGAATGCGGGGAGGGAGTGGGTCCCCTTTTGTGGCTGGAGCTGGTCACAAAACAAAAGCCAATTGCTGGGTTGAAGGGGTCCCCCCCCACCTCCTGCGAAACAAGGGCCCAGAAAGGGGAATGTTGGGAACACACAGAATTTGCTGGAAAGGGTTGCATTTCAGGTTCAAACTAGAATCGGACAGGCTCCTCTGTGTCCCGGGAGGGGTGGTGGCTGGGACGCCCGCAGCAGGGCGGGCAGGGCGTGGGTCTGTCCCCGGGACCCCTGCACCCCGCCCCCACCGCAGAACAGCGGGCTGCGGGTCCGGACTCGGGTTTGGAGAGACGGCGGCAGGTTTCCCGTAGTGACACCGGCTTCCCAGGGAAACAGGCGGGAGGAAGTCGCAGGCGGAGTGAGGTAGCACCTGGTGCGGCCCCGGTGAACCGGCGTCTTCCCTGCAGGATCAGAAGCGGTGACCCCCAGACACGGGCACTGCGGCTGCACCGCGGTCCCAGCTCCCACGCTCCTCGGCCCAGCGCTCGCCCCGCGGCCTGGCTCAGGGGCTGAGCGTCGACCTAGGATCCAGGAGCTCACGGTTCCGACTCCCCGTCAGCGCACAGGCCCGGGTTGTGGGCTCCATCCCCAGTGGGGGGCGTGCAGGAGGCAGCCGGTCCATGATTCTCTCTGACCATTGATGTCTCCATCTCTCTCTCTCCCTCTCCCTGCCCCTCTCAAATCAATCAAAATATATTTAAAAAATTGTTTTTCAATGATGCACATTCTTAAATGCTAGACGTGGTTTTGGTCGTTATGTGTTGTGTTAACGACAGACAGATTGGAGCGACAGGGGCCCCCCCGGCCTAACGCTGTGCCCAGCTGTGTGCGGCGGGTGGACTGGCTTCTCGGCCGGCTTCCGTCTGTGACGCCCGCAGGGCCCCACCCGCCCGGGGATGTGTGAGGCTGAGAGGAAGCGTGTAGCAGCCACGTTTTGAACCAGGCGTGGGGAAAGCATTGTACCAACCCCCCTGCAGCGCGCTCTTTAGTTCTCGGTGGATTCCTGGGCAGAGACACGCCTCACTCCCCACTCCCCCCACGGAGACAGTGCAGCGCCCGGCAGGAGCGGGCAGGCCACTCGCCCATGACCACAGAGGCGGCGGGGATGGAGCTCAGACCCAGGTGAGCTCGCTGCCCCCGGAGCCCGTGCCCTGAGCACGACCCCATCACTCCCCGGACTGCACGCCACGTCGGGTAGGAAACGTCCCCTCAGAGCCTCCAGGGGACGGGGACGTCTGCCCAGCCCCTGGTGTCAGGTCGGCCTGGGACAGGTTAGCGTTGCCCCCCAGTCCCTGAGCCTCCAGCCCCTCCGCAAAGAATACGGGACCCAGAGCTACGGGGTCAGGGCCCGCAGAAGGCATATGGGACGCTTCATTTCTGAAATAGTTGCGGGCGGGACCAGGCAGCGGCTCTGGGTCCCGTACTCCTTCTGTGGCTGCGTGGCCCCTAACCTGGGATCTCCAGTTCCAGTCCCGTGGACACCGCTGGGGGAGGTGGTCTCCCCTCACCATCCTTTTGCCTGGGTTCCTCCCACCCAGGGCAGCGCCTTCAGACTCAGCGGCGGGAGTCCTGGCCCTGCCTCTTCCCAGCAACGCGGAGTGCGCTCATTTCCTCAACCGCCTCTACGTCCGTTTCCGGTTGGACACACCAGGTGGCATCGTCCACAGGCTCACGATGAGGCCAACAAGCAGATCAGAGCTGGGGAGAGCCAGGTAGACCACGCGCCTGAGAAGTTCCCTGCACACCTGGACATGCAGACCTGGACCTGCACACCTGGACCTGCACACCTGGACCTGCACACCTGGACCTGCACACCTGGACCTGCACACCTGGACATGCAGACCTGGACATACAGACCTGGACATGCACACCTGGACATGCACACCTGGGCCTGCACTCCTGGACCTGCACACCTGGGCCTGCACACCTGGGCCTGCACACCTGGACATGCACACCTGGACCTGCACACCTGGACCTGCAGACCTGGACATACAGACCTGGACATGCACACCTGGACATGCACACCTGGGCCTGCACACCTGGACCTGCACACCTGGACATGCAGACCTCGACATATAGACCTGGACATGCACACCTGGACATGCACACCTGGACATGCACACCTGGACATGCAGACCTGGACATACAGACCTGGACATGCACACCTGGACATGCACACCTGGACCTGCACACCTGGACATGCACACCTGGACATGCACACCTGGACCTGCACACCTGGACCTGCAGGGGGGACGGTGAGGGACATGCAGGGGGACGGTGAGGGACATGCAGGGGGACGGTGAGGGACATGCGGGGGGACAGCAGTGGGAGGCCCTGGGGTTTTAGGTGGATGTTCCGTCCTCCTATTATACCCTGGATGGAGCCCGGGGAGCAGGGGAGGAGGCCCCAGGAGTGTGGATCTGGAGGGAGCCCCCGCCCCCCGAGATCCATTGAGGATGACTGAGTGTATGACGTTCTGGTTCCATACCTGGCCGGGTACCACACCACCCCCCTCTCTGGGACCGCGTGTGCCGTGGATGCCTGATCGCTAGCTTTTCCCCAGACGGTACCTGACACTCAGACTCTGAGCACGCTTGCCGAGGCGGCCGTGGCTGTGGCAGCTCGTCACTCACGCCATCTGTCGGTGGCGGGCTGCCCGATGGCAGGTGGCCGGCAGCTCTGGGAACTCTGCCTGCCAGTCCCCCTGAGCTCCTCGGGAAGTCACACCTTTAAACGAAAGGCCGCGCCTCATTAGAAAGGGCCTCTTCGATGTTTAAATCCCCCGGAGCCTCACGGAGCTCACTGGCCCCGGTGACGCTGCTGTGCTGACCTCACGGGGAGAGGAGGCCCCGGACAGAGCCCACAGCGTGCCCAGCCGGAGCCCCCGCCCGTCGCAGGCCCCGACTGTCTGAGGCCCCGGCTGCGGGTGGCAGCCCAGTCCCCCCGTCAGCACCGGCTGCGGCCCCATATCGGGTCTTCGGAAAAGACGCAGGAAGCAGCCACGAGGGCGTCGGCTCAGGACCTGATGGTCGCAGGAAAGACCCAACACGAGCATCCAGTAGGCGGATCGCACAGCAGGAGACGGAGCTGGGTCCTGGATGTTGGAAACCAGGGCTGTGCTTCCGAAGGCGACGTGGGTCCCCTCCTGGCGACGTCAGGCCTCCCCTGGGACCCCTCACCCCACTTGGGCGGAGACAGGTGTCCTGTGTGCTCCTCACTGTGTGAGCAGCTTCGTCACCCCACGCCGGGGTGGGGTTCGCCTTCATTCTCGTCTGCAAAGACGCCCCTCCTCCTGGTTCTGAGCAGCCCCCACCCATGTGGACGCCTCTGCACCTGCCCCTCCTCTCTTTCCAGCGCTGACCAATTTGCAGTCGCCTCTCACTTCTGACCCACGTGGGCGATGGAGGGAGCCGCTCAGAACATGCCTGACGGCTTCCCAGAGCTTCCCGCATGCGAGCCCAGCGGCCGTTTTCACAGCGGAGACCTGCCGCTGGGACCGTGGCTCAGGGGCCGTGGCCGAGGCTCTGCGACGTGGGAAATACTGAACCTCCGGTGACGTTCACTTGGATCCAACCTCGACCTGAACAGACTGCGCCTGGCTCTTCAGAAACGAAATGCACGATTCTCGGGGCGGCGCGCACGCTGGGGCGTCTCGGGAACACGCCTGGTTCACACGGGAAGGGCTCCTTGTTTCAAGACCACCCAGCGGACCTGAGCTGTGAACCGCACCCCAGGCAGAGGACGGGCTAGGAGACAAGTTTTGAAAGTTTCTCTGAAAAAAGGAGGCATTGCCGTTTCCAGGTTCCTGGGAGCGCAGCGAGCCGTCCTCTCCGGGCAGCCAGACGGGGCTGCAGGAGGCAAAAGCCCAGGCTCCGGCCTCGCGGTCTCGCCGTCCGCGTCCACGGAGCGGCGCCCGCCGCATGCACAGCGTCCGCTCGGGTCTCCACGCACACGGGACGGGACGGAGGCGTCTCCAGGAGTCAGTCCGGTTTCACAATGTGTCAGACGCCAAACAGAAACATCGTATTCCATCTGCGACAAAGTTACTTGCCAGTTATTAAAATCAGATTCTGATCAAAACACACATTTTGATACGCGACCAAAGGAAGCTCACAAAGGAAATCCCGGAGAGAGATCCCCCGCCCCCGTCAGCTGGACGGGACCCTGAACCCGGGGACCGTGCTGCTAAGTCGGGAAGAGCCTTTCTGCGAAGACGAGTCACGGCGTCATCCGTTCATCCTGCGCCCCGACTGGCGTGTCCCCGCTCTGCAGAGCCACGGCGTCTGTGGGTGCCGGGCTCGGCCAGCATCGCCCCCAGGCTCCCTCCGGCCAAGCCTGCCCGGCTCCATGTGGCTGCAATTAAGGCTCGGCCCTCCCCTCGGATCTCAGACCCTGGGCTCCTGGAGGAGGACTCCAGCCACCTGAAAGGTGGGGGGGCTGGACAGGAAGAGGGGGAAGGCGCTGCCGGCACCCACACAGCATGCCTGCTCGTCTGCAGCCTCCTTCGCTGCAGTGAGGACGCCTGCTGCGTCCGGCTGATGTCCATGCTGCTGCCCCTTTGAGCAGAACGGCTGGAGGCCACGGCAGCCGAGAGCAGCGTTTGTCCGCCCCCTCCTTTCTCACCCACACGTTCTCTCCGTCACACACACGAGCACACCAGTTCTTGTGAGTGTGGAGTTTCCAAATAGAGGAAACGAGACTGGAATTTCTAGAAC